TGCTCCAATTGGAGGCTCTTCTCTTTTTTGGCTCACCCGTCCTCATCCCTAGTACGCTCTTGAATTGGGACTGTTGGAAGCCATTCCAAGTAGGCCAAGAACGCAAGGCCAGTGGCCAGGCATCCGATGAGTCCCCAGGAGCTCAGCCTCTTTTGCAGCCGTTTACAAGCACAGGAGCCCTTCCAGGTAAGAAAGGTGGCCAGGAGGCAGCCGTGGATGGACTTCTGCCTGGAGAGGATGCTGAGGCTGAAGACAGTACAGAAAAACCCAGTGGCCAGCCCCAACAATCTCCATGCAAGCGAGAGCAAACAAATGTTGATTGTATGAGAGCCCTGCCTTCCTGCTGCCTGGCAGATGGAAACTCACGTCGTTACAACTTTCCCCTTTGCTGTTTAGACATAGGGAAGGAAGCTGCATCTCTTGCGGGTGGGTGGGTTTCTGTCTTACAGTTCAGGACGTGACTTTCTGAGTGGGAACAAAGAGCAGAGAGAGCCATTCTGGGGCTGAAACAAAACGACTTGCCTTTTCAGAGCTGTTGCCATTACGCATTTTATTTGCCTTGTTGGTTTAACCTCCTCCAGTCACATGGTGGTTAGTTTGTTGAAGGCTCATTGTAAGAGTCTCCATCCATTCAGCATTGTCATTCTTCCTGGGTTCCAGGATCATAGGGACTCCGTTTGCTAGCAAGTAGCTGCATACTGCTGGGAAAGGTGGAAGGCAGCAGGAAAAGAGGGAGGTCAAATACGAGATGGATTGAATCCCTAAAGGAAGCCACAGGCTTGAATTGGCAAGAGCTGGCAGGGCTGTTGAGGACAGGCCACTTTGAAGATCACTCATTCATAGGGTTGCCATAAGTCAGGGACAATTTGATGGCACAGAACAAAGCTACATATTTCAAAGCTGTATCTTCCAGTTATTTTCCTGGAGAGAAACATTACACAGTGTGGCTGCAGAGAACACAGAATCTTTTTTAAAAGCCAGTTGCAATAGGGTGGACTTGAGGGTGAGTAGTGTCAGATGCCAGAAAGGGAGGAGGAATTAAAGAACCTCTTAATGAGGGTGAAAGAGGAGAGTGCAAAAAACGGTCTGGAGCTCAACATCAAAAAATCGTAAGCTCATGGCCACTGGTCCCATTACCTCCTGGCAAATAGAAGGGGAAGAGATGGAGGCAGTGACAGATTTTACCTTCTTGGGCTCCATGATCACTGCAGATGGAGACAGCAGCCACAAAATTAAAAGACTCCTGCTTCTGGGGAGGAAAGTGATGACAAATCTCGACAGCATCTTAAAAAGCAGAGACATCACCTTGCCAACAAAGGTCTGCATAGTCAAAGCTATGGTTTTTCCAGTAGCGATGTATGGAAGTGAGAGCTGGATCATAAAGAAGGCTGACCGCTGAAGAATTGATGCTTTTGAGTTGTGGTGCTGAAGGAGACTCTTGAGAGTCCCCTGGACTGCAAGGAGAAGAAACCTATCAATTCTAAAAGACATCAACCCTGAGTGCTCACTGGAAGAACAGATCCTGAAACTGAGGCTCC